GCATATGAGTTGAACATTTACCTGAGATAGATACACTCCTTGGAGAGAACAATCATGGGAGAAAGAAGGGTTGCTTATGCACAGGGAAACAGCTCAGAGGGCAGGAGTGCATGGAGGGACAGACACAGGGCAGAGGTAACTATGGGGAAGAAGTGGGAGGGGAGCTGTTGCATTGTGGTAAATTGTGGTCAATGTCATGAGACAAAATGTATGTGAACTGCTGTATGGAAAGTGAATTTCCTCTTTAAATTTTCACCCAAATCACACACACACACACACACAAAAAACGTTGTTAAGTCAATTCTGATTCATAGTGACCCTATAGGGCAGAGTGGTATTGCCCTATAGGATTTCCAAGGATTATCATCTTTACAGAAGCAGATTGTCACATCTTTCTCCCATGAAGCAACTGGTGGGTTTGAACCACTAACGTTAACCACTGCTCCACCAGGGTTGTGCTAATAGAAACAAAAACCCACATAAGTTGCCATCAGTGGATTCCAACTGATAGTGATCCCATGTGTACGGTGTAGAACTGCTCCATAGGGTTTTCAAAGCTGTGATCTTTATTAGGAAGATTGCCAGGGCTTTCTTCCAAGGCACCTCTGGTCGGTCTAACTGCCAACCCTGCAGGTAGTAGTCAAGCACTTAATTGTTTGCACCACCCTTGGACTTCTGGGCTGTGATAGTGGAGAGAAACAGGGACTAGTAAGCCTGGTCAAGGAGTCCCTGGACAGGGCAAATAGTTAACACTCTTGGCTGCTATCCAGAAAGTTGGAGGTTCAAGTCCATCCAGAGGCAACTCAAAAGAAAATCTTGGAGATCTACTTCTGAAAAATCAATCATTGAAAACACTATTCAGCACAGCTCTCTGACACACATGGGCTTCCCATGACTTGAAATGGACTTGATGGCAACATTTTTTTTTTTTAAGCTTGGTTTTGGCCTGGGGTGGCTTCCTATTAATTTCTGGCATTTCCTCCAGCCTAATGCTCCCATCTTGGGACTCTGCCTGTTCTTTAAGCCTCTAAGACCTTGATAACTGACAGGCAAGATCATGAAGCAGCCACAGAAGGAAATTCCTTCTTGTCCCCATTATCACCTTTTCTCCAGCTTCTACCCCGAGATGCCCTGGTTTCTTCTGGCTGTCAGGGAAGAGCTTCTGTCTGGGAACCAGTTTCCATGAAGGTGTCAGCCATAGTGGGTTTTCTTCCCTGGGTAAAGGTGTGGCAAAAGAATAGGAAGAAAGGGCAATGTTTGATCCCAGAGTGACAGATGGGGGCTGTCAAGCACTTGCAATCTTTCTGTTATTGTTGTTAGCTGCTGTTGAGTCAGCTCTGACTCATGGTGATGTCATGTACAAGCTGACAAACGTTGCCTGGTCCTGTACCATCTTCATGATCATTGGTTTGCTTGAGTCCATTTTTGCAACCACTATGTATTTTGAAGGACTTCCAACCTAGGGCACTTATTTCCTAGCACTATATCAGACAATATTCTGTGGTGATCCAACAGATTTCATTGGCTAATTTTCTGAAGTAGGTCACCAGGCCTTTCTTCCTAGTCTGCGCTAGTCTGGAAGCTTTGCTGAAACTTACCTATCATGGGTGAACCTGCTGGTATTTGAAATACTTGTGACATAGCTTCTAGCATCATAGGAATGCACCAACCACAGTACAATAGTGCAACCAATTGACAGTTGGGTAGCCTTTCTTAAAAAACAAAACAAAACAAAAACCCAACCAAACCCGTTTCTGAATTGATTTTGACTCATGGTGACTCCATGTATTACAGAGTAGAGCTGCTTCATGGAGTTACTTTGGCTCTATCTTTATGGAAGTGGATTGCCAGGCCTTCCATAGCTCTGCTGGGCTTTGGCTAGTAGTTGAGGGCAAACTGTTTGTGGCACTCCAGGATTGGCCCTTGCTTTCTGAGAGCTGAGGCTGACCTTGCCAATGATTGACTCAAGCTCAGGAGTCTTCAATCAAAGCCATTTACCTCCCTTCTTCCCCTACTTGAGGAGCTCTGGTGGCATAGTGGTTAAAGCATTCAGGTGCTAACCAAAAACACCAAACCAAACCCAACTCACTGCCATTGAATCGTTTCCAACTCATAGTGACCACCACTGGGTTTCTGAAGCTGTAAATCTTTCCAAAAGTAGATTGCCCCATCTTTCTTCCGTGGAGCAGCTGGTGGGTTTGAACTGTTGACCTTCCGGTTAGCAGCCAGATGCCTTACCCACTATGCCACTAGAGCTCCTCCCAAAAAGGTAGAGCTAACCAAAAGG